GAATATGTGGCTGGGTTAGGTAGGACAGGGCCAGGAATGCCAAATATGAAGTTTCACTTTAGATGAGTAAGCAATTAACTTGTTCTCAGGATGCTGGCCCTGAATGCTAGAATGAGAATATTTTTCCTCTGCGTCATCAACCTAAAATTTTTCACTTTTCTGTACTATTTATTCAATTAATTTGGAGAAGATTTGGGGGGTCATTTTTGGTCTTTGTTTTTATCTGGATGCAGATATTAATATCTTTTGCTTCCTCTCAGTGTATACGGATGAGAAAGGGAAATGTGTGTGGTGATAGATTCAATTGTGTCATATTTTATCCCCATTTTCAGCCCTTATTCTTACTTCTGTCCTATCCTGTGTAGCTTCTCCACTATATTTTTTAGGCTATGGTTTTGGTCAAATCACTACTATTTGCTTTGTATCCCAAGATATTTTTGAAATTTCATTTGCTTTTCTTGACATCATCTACTTTTTTCTACTCACATAAGTGCATGCATACAGGCACACATCATCTTTACTCCTTTACTTATTCTTCATTTTTTCTGTTTCTTCATTTTTATTTCTGTACTGTGTAGGAAAGGATAGTAGGCAAATGATATGCTGAGTTCACCATCTTGAACAGTAATTCAAGAAAATCGTTTATATATTGTAAGCATATATTTTGAAACCTGGGTAAAACATAGTGCAGGATTCTCCAAAGCTGATTGTCCCTTTGCCGCATGACCACCTCTACAACATTCTTATTCAAAGGGAAATGAAATTACTTTGGGAGAAGTTCACATTTTTTGAGTTGTTTGGTACTTTAAAAAAATCACCTCATTAGTTAAGAAAGAGGGAAGAAATGGTGGTTGAGGAGGCAAACAACAGTGTCTGCCATGGTAGTAATCTAACTTTTTTCTTTTCTAATATCACTTATTTAAAAGAGTAGGAAAACATTTTAGAATTGAGTCTTTTATTAATCAGCATTCCCCAAAGGTTAAGCATCAGCTTCAGAGAAGCAACTGCACTGGAATGCAGTAAAGATGGAATATTAAGACTCGGTGTTGCAGGATGAGGTGGGGTGAAAAAGGGCAGGGAAGAACTGACTGACAATAGATACAACAAGAAAGGCCTAGAAGCTGAGGCTACGGCACACTGGTGAGCTAGGCAGACCTAGTGGACACACATCCTGAAGGAGGTACCCAGAGACTGATGGGCTGGAAATGGTTCTGAAACTTGGCAGCCCATCCCCTCAACCCACGAAGTGACAAGTCTGAGAATGAAAGGCTAACATACTAAAGATAATGAAAGATAGAAATGAAAAAAGTCAAAAGCGTGAATAATTTTGTTGAGCTACAAAAAATAGCTTGGAAACACTTCCACCTTGAAATTTTCTGTTCTTGAGACAATTTTGAGATAACTAAAGGCACTCTTTGCAGAATGATCATGTTACACATATACATAAAACACACACAAACTTATATAATTTTACCTAAATGTGTTCATATTATGTATAGATTGTGTTGCAAGCTATTTCATTCAACTGTACATCTTAGACATATTACCGTATCAAGCAATACAGATTCACATTATGCTTTTTTAATGCCTCGAAATTTAGAGATGTATTACAATTTAATTTAAATCAATCCAATATTGAGCCTTTTTTTGGTATGATACTTTTTTTTTTTTTTTTAAAGACAGTGTTTCACTCTGTTACCCAGGCTACAGTACAGGGGTGCGATCATGGCTCACTATAGCCTCGACCTCCCAGCTCAAGTGATCCTCCTGCCTTAGCCTCCTGAGCAGCTGGGACTACAGGTGCATGCCACCACACCCAGCTAGTTTTCATATATATATATATATATATACACACATATATATATATATATATATATATAATTTTTTTTTTTTGTAGAGAAAGGGTTTTGTCATGTTGCACAGGCTAGTCTCAAACTCTTGGGCTCAAGCAATTCACCTGCTTCAGCCTCCCAAAGTGCTGGGATTACAGCTGTGAGCCACCACACCCAGCCATATGATACATTTATAAATGAAATGTGGAGTTTTGTTTTGTTTTTCAATTAGATATGGGGTCTTGCTCTGTTGCCCAGGCTTGAGCTAAATGGCATGATCATAGCTCACTGTAGCCTCAAACTCCTGGCCTCAAGAGAGCCTCCCAATTCAGTCTCCTTAGTAACTAAGACTACAGGTGTGTACCATCAAGTCTGGCTATTTTTTTTTCTATTTTTTGTAGAGATGGGGGTCTTCCTACGTTGCCCAGGCTGCTTTTGAACTTCTGGCTTTAAGTGATCCTCCTGCCTCAGCTTCCCAAAGCACTGGGATTACAGGTGTGAGCCACCGCGCCTAGCCCACTGCAATGAGTTTTAATTGGTTTCCCAGCCATGCACTACTTTCAACCCACCCTACCCAATATTGCCAAAATAATCTCCCAATTCCATTTTGTGACCGCCAAACACTGACTGCCTATTATACTCAATTCTTTAAATTTAAAATTGTGTCTCCTTATAGTTTGTTTACATTTTAGCTTTGTCACTAGCTTCTATTAACAATGTTCCATTACAGATAAATAGGTTACTCATTATCTAGAATGCAGTTATAGTCTTGTTTCTTGGCTTTGCTCATGGCATACTTTCTGGACAGTCTCTTTGTCATGAGGGCCCATTCTCCTTAGGCTGTCTTTCCACTAACATTTGGGGAAGCTGAGCTTGATGGCATGTACCTGTAGTCCTAGCTGCCTGGGAGGGTGAAGCAGAAGAATCATTGAGCCCAGGAGTTCAGGGCTGTTGTGCACAATGATCATGCTTGTGAATAGCCAGTGCACTTCAGCTTGTGCAATACAGCAAGACCCCATCTCTTGAAAAAAAAAAAATTGAGGAAACCCCGGGGACTATAAAGAGGACAAAAATAGTTCTTAAGAGTTCAGTGAAGTAAGGCCATGCCTCAGTGTCCACAGGGAATTGGTTCCAGGACACTCCCACATACCAAAACCCCAGGATGCTCAAGTCCTTATACAAAATGGCACAGTATTTGCATATAACTCATGCACATTGTCCCATATACTTTAAACCATGTCTAGGTTACTTATAATACCTAATATAATGGGAAGTGCTATGTAAACAGTTGTTATACCCATATCGTTTAGGAAATAATGACAAGAAAAAAAGAGTCTATGCATGTTCAGTGCAGACATAACCATTCTTCTTCTTTTTTATTTTCTAATTGTTTTTGTTCCAAAGTTGGTTGAGACATATACAGAAGTCATGGATACAGAGGGCTAACTGAATTTCCTTCCAGGCTAGGACTATTTAATAGAAATATGATGCAAGCCCACCTATGTAATTTAAAATTTTCTAGAAGTCACATAAAAAGTAAAAATAAAGTTGAAATTAATTTTAACATATTTTATTTGATCCATTATATATAATTTCAACACGTAATCGACGTAAGAATTACAATATTTTACATTTCTTTTCTAAGTCTTTGAAATCTGGTGTACATTTTGAACTCATTGCATGTCTCAATTTGGACAAGCCACATTTCAAATGTCAACAGACATATTTAGCTGGTGGCTACCCTAATGGATAGCGCAGTTCTAGGTAGTGTATTTTCGATTCTTCTCTTCTCCCTCAAGCCTCTGGAACTGTGATGAGAATAATCTGCCATGTGAATTCCTAGCACTTATCAGCACCTCTCATTATCAAGTGGCCTCCTTGCATTATTTATTTTTGTGATGCATTTGTCTTCTCTCATGAACTAACTTGTAAATTCTATGAAGTCCAGGACCAAAGACACATGCAATCTCAAGATTGGAAATACCTTTAACAAAGCCATCAACTAATTCTTCTGTTGATGTGTGGCTCCCCTATACCAAGTCCCTATTAAGTGAGCTTCAGAATCTCCCTGAAGCAAAATTCTGTTGTTGAAGTATTCCACACATGCTAAGGTAGGAAATTCTTTTTGGGTCGTGCTACAAGGGCATCTTCTTTTCAGGATCTTAAATCTGTTCCCTGAAGTTTGCATCACATGAAACAAATCAACTTCACATGACAGGTCACTTCATATTTGGAGAGAGTCCAGTAGTTTTCTCTCTTCTAACTGAGTCCTGGAAGGTTTAATCAATACTTCTTCACTTGCCCTGTTTTTGAGTTCTCTTCATCATTTTGCTCTTCCCTGATAGAATGCCATCTTGATTGAGGTCTTCTTCAAATGCTGAACACAGCACTTCAGAGCTGGTCTGACCAGTAAAGAGAATAACTGGATCACTATTGGCTGCCTCTACAAAACAGTTCTACCAGGCATTGGGGCACATTACCTTATGAGGAAGCGGGAATGGCAGAGGAGAGCCACAACAAACACATTCAGTCATACTATCGTTGCATTGTTGGCTTTTAGTCTAGAACTCTTTGCAGATAAACCACATAGTTCTTTAGGTTAGTTTTGCTTCGTATCTTCCTATCTTTTCAATTGAGTTAGGGAATCTTCGGGCTTTCTGTTTTTGGAGGAGGTCTTCTGACCCAAGGACCGACTTGCAGAGATCACTTTGAGGGAACTAAGCTGAGAATCCAGAAAGCTTATGACACCAGAGAACCATGTATACTTCCAGTAGCCAGAGAGCTTTGGCTGAAGACGACGATAGCAACTACCTGTTTCTTCATTCAAATTGCTCTCTTTTCCTTTACCTTTAATAGGAATTATTTCCTCCACATATTTACCTTATGGAGAAGCGCGGCAGCCTGAAGTAAATGCAGGGGAAAAACTCACAGCGAGGTCGAGATGGCAGGCCTGGCCCGGCGCGAGCAACCAGGGTAAAGCACACCGTTCAGGGCCGCTCCCGCCTGGGCCTGGCGACTCATCCTCGCCGCCGCCGGGGCCTTCCGCATCTGCTCCTCCGAGCCCAGCCGACTAGAGGCTGGAGGCGGGAGGCGGGGCGACGCGCGCACGCGGGCGGGGCGGAGGGCCCAGAGTCGACGAGTCGACGTGCCGACGTTGGCGCTGCAGCGGGGCGGTGACGTGTAGGCCGGCGCCCGCTACACTCTGTCCCTCCTCGCCGGGTCCGTGGGTCTGTCTGTCTCGCTGATGGTCCTCGCACGCAGTTCCCTGTGACTGGGCGCGACCCCGGCAAGCGCGGCGTGGAGGGCTGACAGGGCGCGGCGGTACAGCTGCCCGCCCGCATCTTTGGCCCTGCCCTCAGCACCTCACCCGGCGTGGGAAGTTAAAGTAAAACCGAAAGGGAAGGAGGCGCGGTGGCAGGAGCTGACAGAGTGAAGGGAAACGCGTGAGCCGGGCTGAGAGGTGAGGAGGTGGAGGTGGGAGGACGAGAAGGGTCGCCGCGGCCAGGGGAGCTGACTGGAGGCGGGGACGGCGGGGCGGGCTACGCGACCCGCCGAGAGATTCTCTTCCTACCTCCGGGGCAAGTCCAGACCTGTCATCCTTTTCGGTGGTTTGAGGTCGAGTCCGGGGTCTCGCAACAATACCGCCCATTCCTAGAGTTTGTAGGTGGGATAGGGGATAGAAAACTTAACCTAAGCCACGTATTGTCTAGGTATTAAGCCACAACGTGACCAGATGAGGTGTTTTTTCCTGTCCCATGCATGGGTAATTTGTTTTCTTTCCTTTTTTCTGTTACAAAGCCTTGGTAACTAAGTTTTTTTTCACGTAGATTTTGAGAAAGAAATCTTCCTCTTATTTTTCCTCCAACACACTGAAAAGTAAATAGGTAGCTGACCGTGGTGGATTGTGGGTGAATTTCGCAATCAAGGAGCCTAGAATGTCATTTTGAAATAAATAAATGTGTATGTGGGTGCTAGGGAGGTTTTGTGAGTAATGGGCAGTTATTTCAAATAGGTTTCTTATCATAAATTATCCGTGGAATGCAGTGTGCTAATGGTATTTGCTATTCTTTGGTTTAAAAGAAGCATAATTCTAGGGTTTGGTAAAAGTTAGATGTGTTGTCACTTGTGCATTCAAACTCATAGTTACGTTTTCTTTCTTTCCCTAAGTTAGGTTAGACTGATAGCCATTTTCTGCTCACCAGATTTTATGTTTCATAGATTGAAATCCTTTTTCTGATTCTCAGAGTTCTCAAAAGTTGAGAATTCAGCTTTTGGTTTTACCATGGATCGTGCTCCAGTTTTTGTCGTCTCTTTTGTTTAATGATGGTTATAATAGTTTTGCATGAGAAAAATGATCCTTAAAGATGCTGTTAAGCTTAGGCTAAATAATCTTACTTATATGAGTAAATTAATTTTTCATGGGTTCAGCTTTCTTGATCCCTCCTTAACAGTTTTTTGTCATTCATTCATTCATTCAAGTCTTCCTATGTGTCAAACGCTGGGCCAGACCTAGGAGAGCAAGAGAGAGACAATATCTGTGCTCATGAACTTTCTATAATCCAGCAGCCTCCTTAAAGAGAGAATCTTGACTAGGGTTCTTTCTCATACCATGGATGTGTAGTTGACCAAACCAAAGCTTTTAAAAGAAAAAGTTATTGTCAATGTATATATATAACTGGCATTGAAAGAGGAACAGATGATCTTGCTTTAACAGCATGATTTGATATTGCCTTTGATGAAAAAGATAGTATATGTACCGGTGGTTTGCCAGTTCAGAAGAGTAAGTTTTTCTTTTGCACAGCTGGTTTAAATATAAAGTTCACAATTCTACCTCAGTTTCTACCTCAAAATAAATAAATAAAAAGCTTTTTCTTTTGAGATAGAAATCAGTTGCTTTCCAGTCTTCACATTGGTCTGATTGATCTCCTGTGTATCTCTGGAACGCCTGGGCTCAAGCAATCTCCCTGTATCGGCCTCCCAAAGTGCTGGGATTACAGGCCCCATTTTGCCTTTTTGTGTGCTAATAAATGACTAAGAATTTTGTCTTTGCTAGCTGGCTGCCCCTAGTAGCTTCAGGATGGGAGCTGGTTACCAGAAAGATCAAGGAATTATTAGAAGGTTGGGACTTTCATCCCTACCCCCTAACTGCTTAGGGAGGTGAGAGAGGGGCTGAAGATTAAGTTGATCACCAGTGGCCAAAGGGTTTAATCAATTATGCCTATGTAGTGAAGCCTCCATAAAAACTCAAAATGACAGGGTTCAGAGAGCTTCTGAAAGCTGAACATGTGGAGAGTCCTTGAGGTGGTATGCCTAGGAAGTACTTGGAAGTTCTGCATGGAAATTCCCTTCCCTTATAAATTACCCTATCCTATGTATCTCTTCATCTGTATCCTTTGTAATATCCTTTATAATAAGTTGGTAAACGTGTTTCCCTGAGTTCTGTGAACCACTCTAGCAAATTAACCGAACCCAAGGAGAGGGTCATGTAATCCCCAATTTATAGCTGGCCAGTCAGAAGTACAGATAAAAAAGTCTGGAACTTGTAATTGGCATCAGAAGTGGTGGGCAGTCTTGTGGGACTGGGCCTTCATTCTGTGGGATATGACAGTATCTCTAGATAGTGTCAGAAATGAATTAGAGAACACCTATCTAATGTCTGCTGCAGAAATGATTGCTTGCTTGGTGCGTAGGGAGAAACTCATACACATTTTGCCACAGACATCTTCTGTGTTGATAATTGTGGTATGAGAGCAGAGGAAAAACAATTTGAGTTTTTTCCACTCTCACAAGAGGGCAGGTGTAAATTCCTTGAGTCTGCCTTCCAGAGGCTTATGGATTAGGGTGGAATGAGAATTTGTCTTTCAGACATAATCTGTGCTAGGCCCTTTTCCACTGGACCTTTTCTTTTGTGCGAAGAGTTGTAATATATACTGCCTAATATGTGCTGGGTCTGTTCCATGTTTTCTTGAGAGTAATGGGTGTGCTTGTTTCATCTTTGTGGGATGTTCTGGAATTTTTGACTATGCTTGCCTTATCTGGTGCTAAAATATTTTTTTGTTTTCCCAGGGACATTTAAAGGAAAAGCCTCCCTTATCCTGTGCTAAAAGTAAAATTAACACAACTTTGGGGGGAATATTCTGAATATAAAGGCTAATCTGCTTTATAGTTATAAGCCTGTCCAGGATTTTTTTCCCCCCACCTTTGGGTGGGAAACCTAGTTAGAGGATAAGTTAGAGAATAAGAGCCCCATTTTGTTTTAAATTTTGTTTTTAACTATTTTATATTTTGTATTGTGTGACAAGTGTTTATGTATTTTATTATTTTTGTCATGCTTTCTCTATTCTACGTGCTTCAGATGTGTTTCCTAACTTGATTGGGAACTATTCAAGAGCAATTGCTTCTTGCTTAAGAATGAGTTAGCATCTAAAGTGAACTTGTTAGGTGGAAACTGTGAATAGCTAAGATTACCTTTGAGAATCCCTTAAGAGGACATCAGGTTGGCATAACATGCTGTCTCTCAGCACGTCCTACACAGCCGTGTTTTTCATCCTGACTTGGAATGTATCACAGTTTCTTTAGATGAACTCCCAGTGAAAAAGTTGGTCTGTGTTTGGTCACCAACTTGTATGTTTTTTAAAAAAAGAGAAAAAGTATTAAAAACTAGAGTCATGCAATGCAGCAAGATGCTCACATTTTGAGATGCATGTGGTGATTAAAACAGACTGAAAGAGCAAGATTCTTGTTGCCCATCCGCCGTTCACTCTAGAGCAGGTATTCAATACCTGAAATGTAAGCAGAATCTCTAGTAATTATTGTTTTTGTCTGACTCTACCTTCCTTTTTTTGGCCTACAGTGTTTGGTAGATTAAAGAAAGTAAAATGTGCTTAGACTCTGCTGTATGAACCAATTGATGGTAATAAGGTTTAATACAAGTAAGAGATAAAAGGTTAAAATTATCTTTAGGATTTACCATGAAAAATCAACCCCTTTTGAAATGGCATAATGGAGGATTGTATATATGTGTCGATGGTGGCTATTTTCTGAGTTCTGATCTTGCTAATATTAACAATATCACAACTCAATTTTTTAAAAAGGCACAATAAAATATAAATATTCTTATTCACTGTTTATTTAATCTTTATTCACTGTTCATTTTTCAAGGTGTCGGTTTGTGGGTACAAGATTGTATTTTAAGTATTGAAATCTTAAATTCTAATTTTACTCCATTTACAACCTGCTCCTTCATGTCAGTGGTTTTATCCCTTAATCTGCACTGTATCACTTTGACTATTTTTGTCCCTTTAATAATTCCCTAGTATCCATAATTGTCAGTAACTAATTGTTGACTGAACTTATTAGGAAATATAGTTTGACTGTTTTGGAGATTTTCTCATTTGTTTATAATGAAAAAATACAGTAACTGTATTTTCCTAAAGTTGCTATCAAGCAATTAGACCATTTAGAGTTAAGAAACACAGGTTTGGTTTAAGAAGAATAAATGTTACAATTTTTATATGTAGTACTTCAGAATAGTGTGTATTGGGATTCTAGCTCACTAATTATTGGTTAGTATCATCTCGCAAAAGGAAATATGCTACCATTAGATTAGTTTTCTCCTTATTTGGAATGTAAAAAAGGGCAGTTACATTTTCAAGACTTTCTTTTTATCTGTACTTTCGTTTAATTAACAATTTAAAGATTTATTCAGATAGCCACAGCCAGTACTTCTAACAAAAATAGGCTTTTAGGGTTTCAATCCTTTAGAAATTATATTTGTTCTGGGGCATTAAGTATTTATTATTAACAGAATTTTTCATTTATGTATTTATCATTTAGTGGACCATATTAAATGTGGAGTAAAAATTAGTAAGGTAAAAATTGATATGCAGGCCAGTTTTTCTTAATACTTATTCACTGTGATCTTACCAGAAATTTTAACTATGAATGTTATGATTTGTCTTTAAGACCTCCTAGTTGAACATCTTTTCCTTACATCTAGGCCTAAAGTTAAGCACTTAACAACCCTCATCATTTAGGCTTCATTGTCCCACAACCTCTGTGTTACAAAACCTTAACCCTGGTTCACACCAACCTTTGTTCCTATGCCAGATTATTGCCACCTTTTGTTTGCAGTATGAGCTGAACATTCATTGCTACCTGAAAAATATTTCTTCTGTTATTGTGGGTGGTAAGTTCAGACTTTTGCCTCTGTAATAGAAAAAATCCCATCTCATCACCTGTTTGAACAGTCTCAGCATATCTCAAATAAAATAGGAGTCATTTTGGTGGAACTCCCTTTTACCATGTTTTTCTCTCCTCCTTCACCCTCTGTTTAACCATGTTATAACTATATTCACTTCCACTCATCTTTCCTTCCATACTTATCTATCCAAGTCTCTCTAGACCTGTGCTTTTGTTGTCATTCTCGCCTGTATTCTCAGAGACCCTAACTCCATCAGT